TTTGAACAGTCAAAAAGAAGCATTTGTGTTTACATAGTTTGTTGCACCTATTGGCTATGCCTTCCCACTCATACCTGGAGTTTGCAAACAGGGACATAGAGGGACCTATAGGACACTGTACCCTCTACACTGCTGGGTCTTATTAGCACAAGCTCTCAGGTTGCAGCTACATGGGGTGGTACCATCTCATCTAACTGGACTTCCTGAGCTCTGAGTCCATGTTAGCCAGAGTCCTGGCACAGAAAGGGTAATTAGATTTACTTTCTCATTCCAACCAGCTGCAACTGACTGGTTGGGGCTTGCTGCCTGGAGGGTTGGGCTGAGTAGGAGTCTGAGGCCCCTTCCAGGACCAGCAGGAATGAGGGTTGAGATTGATTAGTTATTTCTGCCAAACACATGGACCTGCAACTAATAGAACAGCCATTGGACTTCACTGTCCAAAGCCTAGTTCCTATAAGGACATGCTATGAAGTCCCCTTGTGAATGGACAAAGCTAGTCGTTTTCAAAAATCTTTAAATCACTGGGATCCTTTCTTCAAGTGAAATTTCCTATGGAAACTGATCAAAACAGGGCTATTCTGGCCAAAGAGAGGAGAGAAGGCTGGAAGTCTCTTCTACTCCCTCTCCTTTTCCCAGTGGCAGCCCCTGAGACACCCCCATGGAACATGGTTTGAAAACCACTGGAGGAGGGGCTACTTTAGAAGAGGGCCAGAAAGGATCTCTTGGAGAGGATGGCATTTGAGTTGAGATCCAAGAAGATCTCAAGAAGGAGGCCATTTTAGGCAAGGGAACAGCAAGTGCAAAGGCCCTTGGGTGAGTACAAGCTTAGCTAGTTTGAGACACAGAATGCTTTCTCCTGTTGTTAGAGTATAGGGAGTATGGGGGTCAAGGTGAGAAATGAGGTCAGATAGGTAGGAAGCATCCATTCAGCTAAGGCCATACAGGCAGGGTAAGGAGTTGGGTTTGATTCTGAGTGTGATAGGAAGTTATTGGAGGGTTTTAAATTTTTAAAAATATCTCTGGCTACAACTATATGGGGGCAAGACTAGAAGGCAGGATACCAATGGTGTGTTACAGTGGCTCATGTGAGAAATGGTGGGAGTTTGGCTAGGATGGTAGCAGTCAGCATTTCAGAAGTTAGAGGTACAGTGGGAGTGGGCTATGGGCATGCCTTCTCACTGCGGGTATAGAGACCTAGGACAATGGGGCACTGAGATCGAAGAAGGGATGTTCTCCAGGCCAGGTGAAGACCCCCTTCCATTTATTGTCTGCAGAAATCCTGCTCATCCTTCAAGACTTTGCTTCCCCTGAGAAATCATCCTTCAAGACCCCACTTCCCTTGGGAAATCTTCCTGGCCCCACATGATTGTTTCTATCAGAGTGTTGACTCTTAGTGTTTACGACTGGGTCTTATTCCTTCTTTTCTTAAAGACTCCTAGATATGGGAGGGACCTGACAGTTGTTCACTCCAGCTCCCTGACTTTACAGATGAGGGACCAGAGGTTCAGAGCTGATACTAAACTCAGGTCTCTTATACCCCAGTCGGGTGCTACTAGCACTCCATCCTCAACTTCTCATTTATGTATGTCTCATATCCCCAACTAGATCAGAAGTTTTTTTCCCTGTCTTTTTATTTTAGATTTAATTAAAGATTCTTAAGAACAGCGGTCACATCTTATTCTCCTTCTTATCCCCCTATCATCTAGCGTAATGCTTGACATAAACACAGACATTCAACAAATATTTGCTGATTAGCTGTTCTGCACATCATTCCTGTAGAGCCCACCACCACAGGAATTTCCTCCTCCCTCTGCCCCATCACAGTTAACCTGGCTCCACACACTAGACCTGACATCGCTTACAATCAGCTGCACTGCTGCTGTCCTTACGTCCGGCCAGTGTCTCACCTGACGCTTCTTACAGCCAGGTCTGGAGAGCATAGCAGAGCCTCACTCCAAAGGGAAGGGCTTGGAGCGGAATTCTTTTCATTTAATTGCTACGCTATGACCACAGTTAGTCTAGGAGTCTGATTGGCATTGGGCCCAAACCCCAAGCCATGGGGGGAATTATTAAGAAGATGTGACTATGCATTATTACTTTTGCCTTTCTTGGATGGTCACTTATCTATCAGTAAGTGCTTATGAGAAATGAAATGACAGTTTCTGAAGACCTAGCCCCAGAGGCTTTGGTCTGCTACTGCGGGGAGAGGAGGCCTTCACACTTGAGCAAAGGACCACTGTTCTGGGCTGCTAAGTAACAACGGCAACACATGACTCGCTCAGTCCATTTGCTGGGGATCTACCATGTCCTGCATATATCCATTTCTATTTATTAATGCACATTTTCAAATTTGAATTTAGAAGTGCAGAAGTACATAAAAATATAAATCCTTGCTCATAACAAAAAAAAGTAGCATATGTGGAAACTAACAGAACCTGTTCCAATGCTTCCCTCTTTGTCACATGGAATTTCCTAACAAGTTGCATAGATGACCTGCTTGAGGGCCATCTTAAGTGAGAATCCTAAAAGTTTGTTCCCATTTTGGTAATATTGACAAGAGCTAACAGACAACAGAAATTTTAAAAGGCTCCAAAGCCACAGAACCACTGACAAATAGTTAAAGCAGGAAGATTCCCTCAACTCCATTAACGTAACATAACAAGATGTGTGTTATCAGTACGCTGGGCCATTTCCAACTGGTAATTAGGTCCACAATCCACAATCTCTTTACTCTTTATTTATCAACCATGTCCTGTGTCCTGTCCACCTGCTTGCAGAATATGCCATTAAAATAATGTATGTCAAGCTTTTTCAGTTACTGGCAACTTGGGAAGATCAAAACTTCTTTGAGGTCGACCTTCTCTCCCAGGACAAATCACTGGACTTAATCAGGAATAGAGTGCACCTTTTTGATGAGAAGACATATCTCCATTTTTTTAAGTATTCTATGTAGATACAGTTTAGATAAAGTCCTCGGGTGACCTCAATCATATCCAGAGCTTCAGTTTATAAGATGATGACTCAGTTCACATCTCTAGCTCAAAACTTTCTATCAGGCTTCAGATCCATGGTTTCAAGTGTCTTAATATCCCAAGGGCAGCTCGGATTTGAACTCAGCACATGAGCGCAGGCATGCGCGCATGCACACACACACACATTTCCTGTCCTAAATCTCAGTTTTAGTAAATGATATCATTACACACCCAGGTTTCCAAACCAGAAATTGAAAGCATACTTGAGGCGTGAGCAGACCTGCTCTGGTTTGTTGGAATTTGGATTATTTGAAACTAGTGTCAAAACAAAGCTTTCTTTAGCTCTCGTGCTCCCAGGCAGCCACTGCCTCCTTGGCTGGACCCCACAGGCTGCCTCCTTCCTCTGGCCCCCCCTCCGCTTCTTCCCCAACCTGGGTCTATGTCTCAAGGTTATATGAGGACCTCTGCCCTAACACGAGAACAGATTTCAACAGAAATCATCGGAGGGACTTTTAAAAACAAAAGATTCCCACACTTTCCCTCAAGAGATTCTGATTCAGAAAGTCTGAGGCGAGACTTAATCTGTCCTCGGTACTGTCATAGAATTCCATCGGAACCCCCGTGCCAGCAGGAGGGACCTGGGGTGCTCTGTAACACCCCAAGTTTGGGACCATTGTTCTCCCAAGTAATGATGGTGCCATGTGTCTGTACATCGTGGCTGTTGCCACACACATCATGTGCACAAGCACATACATATGTACACAAACACATACACATGCGCACATACACACACATGCATGCTCTCCCCCTATTTTATTTTTGTGACACCTGTACCCAGGTCACCCTGATGCATCGCTTGCAGTTGCTTCTACAAGCAATCATTCGCCAAACAGCCATTCACACCTACCCTGCTCCCTCACCAGCACCCTTCTCTCTTCTCCCCATGACTGCAGCAGCCTCCTAAGGGGTCTCCCTACTCTGTACTGTCCTCTACACTCCTGACTTGGGGCTCTTTGGAAATGCAGATCAGAGCCACTCAAGTCCCTGGACCCCTGCAGGCACTTCCTTCCACCATCAACCCAGCCCAGCCTTCCCAGAGTATACATACTTCTTCAGGCCATTGCTCTCATATCAGCAGTGACAGAAGAAACAGAAGACATAGCAAATATTTAGAAAAGCTCTTGAACTCATTTTAGGTACACCAAATGTCTCTATTGATTAAAAATGGGTATATAATTCTATACTCTTCTATAACATTCCCTCTTATAGCAACCTTCTCATTGGAGGTTAATATGAGTAATATTTTTTTTTAACGAGGAGGTCCCGTCATTAAATATGCTTGTGAAATACCTGATAAGACTAGGTTAGACAAGTTGACTGATCCTGCTCTGGATTATGAATCTTCATGGGTGAGAGGTCACTTACTGGGCTTCCCCGAGTTTTCTGATTCTGTCTGCGCTCTGTAAGGGAGCAGGTCGCAGGTGAGTGTTCCCTGGAGAACGCTGTGGGAAATGTCCTACAGGAAAAGGGGAAGGGTTTCCAGGATTTGGATGACTTGGTGGTGAATGGATTAAAGGAAAACCCAATATTGTATAAGATGTTATACACAGAAGAGAGAAGAAAAAGATGTTTTTCTCTTTAAAGAACTAGCAAACGGGGAGTTTTCTGCATCTCCAAAGAGAATGAATTTTAAATGCTTTAGAAAAATGAACTGAATACTCTTCCACCTCACTCCACCTATGCAAAACTCTAATGTGATATTTATTTAGTATTTTTCCAAAGGAGAGACTTCCTGAGTTTGTCCGGGACTGGGTAATTATTGGAGAGTGAAGAAAGCTTCGTTCCTAAATGCTGTTCTCCTCTCCATGAATATTTCCAGTAGTGACCTTGTTCGCAGGTCACTCTTACCTTGATCTTCTCATTTTTCCTACTCAAGAAAATTGAAAATATAGTAAATCTCATTTATCTCTTTCTCTCTCCCTCTCCTTTTCCTTTACCCCATCCCGTGTTTCTTCCCTTGTCCTCCAGGAACCTTCTGCATCATTTCACTGTGCACCTGTGTGGCCGGGATCAACTTTGAGCTGTCACGCTACCCACGCTACCTGTATGGACTCCCCGATGACATCAGCCATGGCTATGGATGGTCCATGTTCTGTGCGTGGGGTGGCCTAGGCCTCACACTCATCTCGGGATTCTTCTGCACCTTGGCCCCTTCTGTCCAACCTGTCCCGAGGACCAATTGCCCTAAATCTAGACCCGAGAATGGGACAGTGTGCTAAAAAACAAACCCATACCCATATATATATATAAATATATATATAATATACATATATAAAACAAAACTAAATCAAGCTGATGCCAGTGCCAAGGTAGCGTTGAGTTGGCTCAGGCACCAGCATCTCGTCGGACTTTGTGTTGCCTCATCACTGAGATGGGGAAACGTTCCCATCATGTGGCTCTTCCATCAATTCTTGACTTTTGGCTCCATGGTTTCTTGAAGACAGAGTGAACATCAACACTTGCGATAGCATCCTGATTCCGTCACTCACGAGGATGGGGTGGTGGGCTAGGAAGGGACAGTGCCAGTGGTCTGAAGAGGCACAGATGTAGAGAAGCAAGTGCCATCCACTGGGCCAACAGGAGAGGATACCGCCCTAACACCGATCATATCACAGAGAAACAAAGCCTACTTAGTTCATAGAATGTAACCAAATCTTGAGGCCATTTGCAGAACCACGTCTTCACCTGCTCTTCCTGTTCCGATTTCCTTCCTGGCCCACCAGCGACACACAAGAAGTGGAAGAGAAAACAAACAGAAGGAAGTTTTCTCTTTGCTGCCAAACTTTTGGACAAAGTTTTAGAGGTGGGAAGGGGGAGAGAACAACATGCTGAGAGGCAAGATCCGCATCAAATAAGAGGACACTTCAGTGGATGCTCAGAAAACCCAGTCTTACCTTCCAGCTGCCTTACACCCAGTGAAACAAGAGGCCGCCCTGCCCCTCCCCCACCTGCACTCCCTGGGCAGATGGAGCCTTGGAGTAATGCTGTGATGTGTGTATGTATGTGTGTGTGTGTGTGACTACTCCAGGTGTTTCCTTTTTTTCTTTTCACCTTTTAAATGGAAATACTGCATTATGACTGTTTTCTTTCTCTCATTTGCGGTGGTTTCGTGGCCTAGGATGGAGGCCCCAGGACCTAGGAAGTATAATGAGGGGCAGGCCTAGATGGCTGCCAGTTCTGCAGCTTCAGATCCCTGGAGTGTGTGTGTGTATGTGGTAGATGTTATATGAGTGTGAGGTTTTATCATTTGTGTTGCATTTTTCTGTTATTTTTAGTACAGCTGAAATTCCCAGAGGGCAGAACCAAGAATAAAACCACTGGGCCAGAGGACCCTGTGGTTCTTCACATCACGGTTCTGGGACGCCTCACGATTTAGTCCTCTAATTTTGGAAGTCCAAGACACAACTGGGCAGAAAAGCCATGAGAGAAGCGGGGGAACACAGTTCAGGAGGGAGAAGGAATGTTGCCTCTGTTGCTGTTGCACAAGTACGTATACCAAACAAGACCTTTCACTCCCCATCACAGAAGCCGTCCTTTGTCACTGGACATCTACCCCTTTCCTAGGACAACCTCTGTACAGATGAAAGAAAATGGGGCACATGCAGAGAGAACACCTCCATGTCCCATGGGCTCAAGTTTGTACGATATTGTGCAAATTAATGGAGAACTCTTGACTCTTTCCACCCTCTTCCTTTCCTCTTGATATTCAAGGCCATGAATCCCAAAATAGGTGTCTTAGCGGCTAGCACCCAAACAGAGGTGGCATGAATCCAGCCTAGTATCTCAGGCTCATTTGAGCAAATTGGCACTGCAGGTGTTGGCGAGCTACAAAGTCAGCCAGAGAGTTGTGAAAGCTGTAGGGAGAGGAGTCTGCCGGAAAGAGTGGGCAAGAGCAGCTGACAGTGACCCTGCTGGGGCTGAGCAGCCCTGGGGAGGCAAGAGAGAATCCCCAAGCTATACAGCTATGGGTCAACCATGTAGCTGAGAATTCAGTTGCTTCATAAATAAATATGCTTTGGGAACTTTGCCAACCACTCAGCAGGCTTCCTTCCCACCCAACCACTCTGTTTCAACTCCCTGTCTTCTAACCTATCTTCCTACCAGTTTCCACCTTTTCTCGCCTACTAACCACTTAACTTCTCCCTCTTCCATACACCAGGCTACAGGTACTGCCTGTCTCCTCATCTGCTCTTTCTGACTGTGTGTGTCATTCACATTTGGATAGGACGTCTGAAATGCATGAGTGGGCTTGAATGTGGGTTTCTGTATGCGTGTATCTCTGGTGCATTTTATGTGTGTCTGTGTCAATATGTTCCTGGACGCAGATGTAGGTGTCCTACCTAAGACTTTCTTGCCACTGATACTGGCCAGCTTCTGCAAAAGGTGTTGTGTGTGAAATGCCCTGTGTATGGATGTGCTGGGAGATGAGGGGTGAAGTGTGTAGCAGGAAATGCTGTTAGCTTCCAATTGAGGTTCTAAGGATTATTTTTAAAATAAAGGGTTTATTCTATGAGAAGGGATATAATTTTCAGGAAAACACAGTTTTTCAATTGTACAGGGAATTTTTTAAAATTTTTCTTTGAAAATTCAAGGAAAGGGCATATTGGGGCTTGAGGAGAAGTGGGGAGAAGTATCTGAGAGTGACAGGCCTGTGTCTTCCTTCCAAGCATCCTGAATGGGCTCTGCTGAGCAGAGATGCAGGTGTCCATGAGTCTCTGTTTGGGGCAGAAGGCTTGTCTGTGACCAGACCCAAATTCTAGCTGTTTACCAGCTGCATGAAAGTGGGGAAAGAAATTCCAAATGGGCAATTTGGTATCAATCATTTAAACTTTTCTTCACAGACCTATCATTATTTATGTCCTTTTTAAACCATGCTTGCTATAAATAGATCATCCACTCTATTCAACTACTGATCCTTGTGATGGACCTTTGACACAACTTTTGCATCCTTTTGAAACCTTCCTGAAATGTTAGGAGGACTCCTGGGAAAGAAGTGAACCACCTGGGCTCCATCAGCATCAACAGAGCAAGGGATTTGGGCTGTTTTTTTGGTTGTGGGGCCGAATAGGTACAAATACACCCCGGGATCTGATCTTGCTTGGGGCCAAAAACAGCCCAGCCACATGGCCAGGATGGAAGGCCTGGTCAGATGGCAAGTCCTAGCCAGTAGGAGAACTGCCCTGGTGACCTTGATTCCTCCAGCATAGGGGCTTGACCCCAGATTAAGACATGCCACTCCAAGCAGTTACTGACACTTGGTGCTGTGAGGTGGTTGAGGAAGAAGAGAAGCTAGAGGGGAGCCTGGCCCTGCGAGACTCTTTAAGTCAGACTCTACTAACTCCAAAGTAGAACCCAACCTTCTGATGGGATTTAGGGTCAGCAGCCTCACTTAAACTCAGAGCCCCCAGCCCCCACCCCAGGTCAGGTTCAAATTCCTTACAGATGTGTTAATGCAAGGTCTATGACCATGTATGTGTTTTGAGCTCCATGTAAGTCAGTCTTGAGCATGGGGCCCGTTTTAATTTTTATTCCCTTCTTACCCTACAAGATTGGGGATTCAGGAAAGTAAGGTATCTGCCTGGAAAAAGGTCCTATTTCTTTCTCTCCCCATTTTGAGAGTTTTGCTTTATTCTTCTGTTTCCTTTTCGTCTCTCCACTCACTTCCTCTTTCTTTCTGCATCAACTTTGGTTAATTAAAATAGTTAAGGAATTCATCTCTAGAGAGGCTCTTGTACTCCAAGTGATCCCCTTCCTCATTTGTTGTAGCCGTAGGTTTCATAAGGACGTCTGTGGCTCCCTAGCATCAAAATATCGAAAGAACTTAAAACAACATCTGTTCCAGGTTCAACCCTCCTATAAACCCTAGCCCTTTCAACTTCAGAGATTGTGAAGTCGCAAAGACTCACCAACTCCACCAGATCAAGCCAAGCCTTCCTCCATCTCCTGTCCATATGCAGGCCCCTGGGGGCTGGTGCATTTTTGTAGACTCTCTTGTTGGGGATAAGGGAAGAAGATATTCTGAGACCCTGAGACTGGGCCCTACATCTTAGTGCTTATCCACAGTTATGGTAAGAGTTCTAGAACGAACGTACCGTGCGCAGTTGTCCTGATTCAGTGGGAGGATGTGCTGCTTAGGTCTCTAAAGCTGGCCACCTGTGTCAAATTCAGAATAATGAAATCAAGTACATTACCCAGAGGTATTTAGAATTGACTATGTCTTTACCTGGCTCATTCTGAAAGCGTTAACTAACTAATTTTCAAGTATCTGAGGGGAAGGAGTAGGTAGAAATACACTCTGGTCATCTTTGGTGTGATTTGTGTGGGATGTTTGGTTGATTCTTGCTGCTGTGGTGAAGCTGCTTTTCCGAGTGTGTTCCCTCTGCTCCAGAGACTAACCATCCCAGTGGACACGTCCAGCCCTTTCCAGGGAAATATGGTGAGTCATAGTGACAGGTGACTTTGTCACAGATAGAAATAATTGGTGCATACCAGCCAGGTTGGCTCTGTGCTGTCTTCCGCTGGTATATGATAGAGTAGGGGGACAGATTGTTAAACAAACCCCCCTGAGTTGATGGACACAAAAGATTTGGGTGTCCCTCAAAGCAGTCAACTTGGTGGGCTGTGTTTGCCCTCTTTCTGTTGATGCCACCATGGTGCAAGATGTTTCTCAGACATTATTTTTACTTCTTAGACTGCATCATTATTGACTATTAGATTTTTCTTTCCCAAATAATACATGCTCATTATAGAAAATTAGAAACAATACAAAAAGAGTAGAAGATTGTTCATAATTCCATCACTCTGAGACATCTTAATGGTCATAGCCCCAAAATTTCCCCAGTCAGTGGTTGCCTCTGGGTTGGCAGGTGGGGCTAGGAGGGCAGTCCATGGCCGCAGAACCACACCGATCTGCACGGAGTTGACCCTGTGTCCATGGCAGCAGGAGCACAGGAGTCTGAGCCCCCAAAGATAGCAAAGAGGTCTTTCCGAAAGCTCAACGCCAGAGCTTAGGGGCAGGGATGGAAGAGAACTAAAAGATTCCTACTTTAGGGTTTCGTTCATACTTTTATTTTTGAGTGCCATCTCAATCTAATTATAGGTGTAAGAGCACTGAAGCCAGAGTAACTCACTAATTAAGCTATAGTTGTGTAATGTAGTTACTGTAAATTTTATTTCAGCTCTGCACTAAAATGATTTGTGACTCTTGGCACTGTGTCTTCTCCATACTTGAACTTCCTCATCCACAAAATGAGGATAGTGAAAACACTTTTACCTCATGGTATATTAAGGGTGACAAAGACATTGCAAAGTGATTTGCAAACACGAAGTGTCATATAAATTATGCACTGTTCCAATTTATCCTGCAGCAGCAGAGCCCCCACAGACTGAATTCTTCCAGATGGTTTCTGTGCCTTGCTGCTGACAGGATAACCCAGAGTCAGAGGTCATCTTGGCCTCCGAAGGGGTCTGTACCTATCCAACTTAAGCACATGGGATTCTATTTCTATCCTTTAGGTCCCTCACAGAAGCTGGCTCCTTAATTTACCCGTTCCCAGGCTTCCTTTTTGTCCAAGGCCAGTTTTGCAAAGGGCACTCTTAATCCCCCTTAATTATTCCCAGAGGTGATGAAATGAGTAAACTGTATGGGTCAAATAGCGTAAATGAACTAAACCAGTTAACTGTTAACCAAGGCACATGGTCAATGCCCTATTGGGATTTTTTGTTTTTTGTTTTTTACCATCTTTCTAACATTATTTCTAGCTGTACATGGCCAAGTGGTGGGAGAAAATCAGACTCTGAAACATTTTAATGGTCTTTTAAGTTTAAGATGAGAACAAGTTTCAAGGAACTCTGGGATCCTCTTTTTCATGTTCGGTGGTGAAGCAGATGGCTTCAACCAAAGCGTATGCGTTCTTATAGGAAGTCTTTTGGATGGTGCATTCACTAGGAGGTGCTCTGGGTGTGCTCTTGTTTGGGAAAAACTGAATCCTAGGTTCTAAACAAGAAGAGAATGCACTTCCAAAAGGATCTGCACACTTTCTGCTTTGCAGGGGATCAGGTTTCAATGTTATGGTGAGACTTTCTTTAAGGAAAGTCCAAATCATTGCTACCTATGTAGATAGAGCCTGGCCAGGAATGGGGCAACTCCCCAACTGTGGGTGTATTTGTTCACTATTGAGAAAAACAAAACTGGGTGTGAGCATGGGAGTTGCACAGCAGTAGCTCAAACCTGGCCTCGCTTTGACAGACACCAAGCTCAGCAATTGCAACTCCTATTCTTCATTTCCCAGGATGGAGTGTTGCTCCTTGGGGAACTCTGTGTCCCTTTCTCCTCTCTTGTCTCCCATTTCTCCCTCTGGCTAAGCCTTTCCCTTCCTCTTCGGGTCACCTGTAGACCCTTTCTAGCTTGAATGTATCGGTGTGTCTGTGTTGTGAACATGATGATGCCTTTCACACAAGGAGCTTTCAGTAACTCATTCTCATACTCCTCTCCCATTTCCACCCATGGTGTGACTGTTTTGCTATTCAAGACTATCTGTAAAAATGTACAAATAAAAGCAGAAACTGAAAATAAGGGGGAGGGAATTGAGACTAAACAAACGCATTGATGTAGCCCTCAGTTTTCTGAGGACTTATGTGGACTGCCCTAAAATCCTGACTCTGGATGGGATTTGAAGGGAGGGAATCTATTGGCACAGGAGTTTTCTTCTGGTTGTTTCTCTGACAGTCACTTGTGTCTGCTTGAAACTCTCTGTTCAAAATGTATTTTCCAAAAAGTAAAAAGAAGTCATCAAAGTCTGAAGGGTGAAGGTCAACACAAAGACCTGATCCTGGGTCGCATTAGTTATCTTTGTCACTGGTGCATTTGGCGCCTCCAGCGAGTCTTGTTACCTCACCATGTCTCCGCGTCCTCTCAGCCAAACAGGGAGCATGGGGGCTTCCGGGGCTCCTGGGGCACCAAGTCTCCTTGGCCATTCTGCTGCTACTTTTAGGGCGGCTTTGAGCCCAGGCTGGTGTGTGCTTACTGCATGGAAGTACATTCGGAGAGCTCCTCCTCCCTGCTCCTTGCCCCTCTCTTTCACTCCTGAGAAAGTAACCTCAAGCTAACAGCCAGTTTGGGCTCAGAGTCCAAAGCCTTTGATCTACCTTTTCATTCTCAGATGCCTTTTCCCACCCACTTTGACGATCTCATTTTACTATCGTTTCTGACAGAGCTTTGCTGTGCTGGGGTAGGAGAAAGATTATCAAAGAAAATGATGCGTGTGAATTGCTTTGTAATCTATGACTCACTATACAGACCTAGCTTGAGATAACAGAAGCAGGGAGCCTAGCCCAGGGACGCCACCAGATCAGAGTGAAGAAAGCCTTGGCAGGTGGTAGGGTAGAGGCGGTGGGCAGCAGATGGGGGTTGGCAGTGGAGGTAAGATAAAGAAGCCTTTTGGAAGGGGAAGTGGGAGAATCACAGAGCATCCTCAGCGTGGCAGCAGAGAAGGATCCCCAAAAGGCAAGGCACCCTGAAGTAAGAGGAAGTAGGAAAGAGGAACAAGTGTGGGTAATCCTATAGCACAAAGAGCTGCCTCCCCCAGGACTGAGAAGACTAGCTGCCCCAGGGAAGGATTCACATGAAGCTTGGCCAGTGTCTTAACCCCAACTGCTCCATGGCGCCCTCGATCCAAACCTGTCTTCTCTCTGACAGTCAACAGAGATCATCTCTGGGACCAACTTCATAAAGCCAATTTAGACCAGTGCTGTCCAACAGAGAGAGAATACAAACCACAAATGCAATTTTAAATATCCTTGTAGTCCCATTTTTAGAAGTCCAAAGAAACAGGTAAAATTAATTTTAACACATATTTTAACCCAATATAAAAATATTATTGTTTCAACATGGCATCAATATAAAAAATTACTGAAATATTTTACGTTCTTTTTTCCCCAATGAAGTCTTCAAGATCCAATGTGAATTTTGTTCTTAGAAAACATCTCAGTTTAGACCAGCCATATTTCCATGGCTCAATAACCACATGTGGCTACTGGCTACCATGTAGGACAGCAAAGATTTAGATTCTGTTAGAAGACAGAATGGGATCGCCCTCACCCATGAGTCACTCAGATCTCCCAGCTGACAGAGGCTGGAGGTTGGTGTTGGACCAGAGGAGAAAGCACAGGAGTGATGTCCAGGCTGCCATCCTGGCCTCTGGAAGTTCTGCTTCACCTGCTTAATCAGAAGACAGGACCACTGCTTGTCAAATACATGTCACATCTGCCCCAGAGGGTGTCAGCACTGCCCCTGGGAATGGCACCAATGACCTGTCGAAGTTCTAGAGGCCAAAGCAGGTCACTTTCTTTAGTTACAGGGGTGTCAACTTATCCCTTATCCAGATGCCTTTTATCTTACAGGGTGGGAGTGGGGGCAGACAGGCCTTCTTTTGGTCAAGAATGAAGATCTCTACAACCTTTTGTCATCTGGTCCAGTCACCTAGTGGCATCTCACCAATATTTGGAGCTGTTTTGTCAATCCCTTAATTTCTTTAAATTTGTATCTTAAAGTCAAATGCTAAAAGGGAATACACTGGGAAGAGCAGTGGCCACAGGCAGACTGGGCTCCGAGGAGGTGGTGGTGACAAGCCTGTCCCTTGCCCTGGGACTAGGTCCATCATTGCCTACCTCTCCTCCCCGTCCAGAGACCTTTCTTAGAGCTGAAGAAACCTCTTTTGTTCGGGAAAAAGACAAGCCGTGAGATCTTAGTGCAGAGAACAGAATAAATGCAAGCAAGCAACCCTGGGCACTCTCAAAGTCTTTCAGAGAGCCAGTGTGACAAGGTTTGACTCATTTAAAATATAACACTCTGAGCCCTGTGTTACTAAGCAAAAGAAAATGAGCCAATTTGGTGAGTATGTCATTACACAGGGACCATAGCTGACAAAACTCTTCAACACCTGGAGTGTTTATGGTCCACCAGATTATTGCTCAGTCAATATAAATTTATTTACCTTTACTTTAATTTGCATAGTGCTTTCTGATTGGTTAGATGAGGAGTGGTGTGTACTGCAGGATTCCAACATCGCCTCTGCCCTCGGAGGTAGCAATTCCTGTGGTTATTGGTGCTAAAATAAGATTAAATATTATGTTAATTTGTTCTGATACGATGTGAATAAATGTATTGTTTAATCTTAACAAGAATGCTACATCTTATCAGATCTATTGTACTGTCTGTTTCTTCTCATAATTAATTAATTACAGGAAAGGTGATCCAAACCAGATCTTGAAACTATTGTGCTATTGAGAGGTGAATTTAACAGGGAAGTGGGAGGGGGGATGAAAAGGGAAATTGCCAGGTTCCTGTGACTTTGCAAGGACTGAGGAAGCAGAGAGCATTTGGGGACTTCACTGACACTGACTGCATCTTGCAATTTTCTTTTTCAAATTGGCAGAAATATTGTATTTCCATCGATTGAAGAAAAAAGTGTCTGGTAATTAATTAAATGACTTGTTCATGGAAAAAATAAAAATAAATAATCTGTCAGTTGTGGAATGTAAACTGATTAAACAATTAAATAAAGAAGATCATGTTGTGTGTTTTAAGCAATTGTGTCTGTTTGGGGAAGAGGGGTAGAGGCTGCAGTATTTGATGGAGAACAATATTTTTCCATCAGGTTTTGTGTATAAAAAAATAGAACAACTCTTATGTAGATAGCAGACCGAAATCTCTACTCTTGAGGGAAATAGACGGTAAACATTTTAAGCACGTGTAAGCCAAAGGTATATGCTTTTAGAGTTGGGCGAGAGGGAAAAATAAGGAAGAGGTATTCAGAAGAGAAAAAGAAGGAAACTATTATTCTTTTTCTCCGGTTGCTGGCATTAATAACTTTTTCTTAAGGGCTTTCTGAGATGCTGGAGTTACAGGCTGCATTCTAAACCCTCAACCTATTTCCTAGCTGTTACTGAGGAGAGAAATTTCTCTCACAATCTTCGTCATTTCTGTCCCTAACTTAGAATCAGTTTCTTTCCACTCTCGTGCCTTTTAAAAGTTTCTGGCTCACACCCAGCTAGGACAGTTAGGGGAGAAGGGAAGATGGTGGGAGGCACGTGCTTTTTAAAGGGTAATATGTGTCAGCCAGCATCTCTACTTTTAAGCAAAAGAGACTGGCTCTGTCTGTTATGAGTGGAAAAGTAATTTACTGAAGACACGGGTAGCTGGAAGCCCATAGCGCAGGCAGGAAGAAATGAGCAGCTAGTTAACCAGAACCACACCCCAGTCCCATCTGGATCCTGCTGATGCCGCTGTTGGACTCTGGACACCACAGCTGGCTGCTGCTGCTGCCGGGGTGTCAGTGAGGAAGATGGGGATGGTGCTCCCACTAGATCCTATGAATTTGTGCTGGAGCATTTTAAACCCGAGGGGTGGGTGGAGTTGCCAGCAACTATCTGAGGCATAAAGACTGGATGCCTTGCGGACATCCTGAGGTAAGCCACAAAGAGAGAAACGGTCTGGTTCTCCTTCTTCCAATGAAGCACAACTTTGATTCCTCTGTCTGTGATGAATGATGCAGACCAGTGGATTTGGGGGAAACACCGACTCTTCCTCACCTCAGCACCTGTGCCTTCAGACACAAAAATCCCTGTTAAATGGAGAAAGGCAGTTCTGAGAAGTGCAACCAAATCCCTCAAATACCGTGGGTGGTCCATGGAGGCGCGTTCTCCCCCAGGAAGCCTGCCTTCCCTGAGTGCCCATCCCTGAGCCCCATGGCGCCATGCCGTGTCTCTTGTGGCTCTTAGTATGTCCAGATGGAATCAGTGTTGTCCTTGGGATCTCCTCAGGAACTGGGTGTCTTGAAGGGCAGGGATTCTGACTTACTCATCTTCATATCCCAATGACTGGTAGTGTATGGTGTAAGTGCTCAATAAATACTTATCTGAACCAAATTAAAGTCTTTCCCCATCCAACCAGCTCAAGTTGGTCCTTAATGCTAATGTTAAATTCTTCTTTAAGTCTTGGGGGTCCTCAAGACCACCCCTTAGATTCAATAATTTACTAGAAGGGCTGACAGAACTCAGAAAAGCTGTTGTACTCAGGGTTACAGTTTATTACACTGAAAGGATACAGATGAAAATCAGCGAAGTAAAAGGCTCATAGGGTAGAGTTCAGGAGAGACGAGACATCAGCTTCCATTTGTCCCCACCCAGTGGATTTGTGTGGAGAGTGCTTAATTCTCCCAGCAATGCTGTGTGACAGCAGAGTATTGCCAGCCAGGGAGGCTCACCCAAGCCATAGTGTCCAGGGATTTGGGGGAGGTCAGTCTTGTAGGCATGGAGCGCCCATAAAACTGACCTTAGTTACTCAGTGTCCAGCCCCTCCAGAGATCAAACTGATACTCATAGACAAGGCCTCCTCCATCAATCACATTGTCGGCATAAACTACCTATCTAGCATGGCCCAAGGTAAACCAGGTAAACAAAGACACTCTCATCAGGCAGGTATTCCAAGAGCTTAGAGCTTCTCTCCCAGGAACCAGTCAAGGGCCTGACCTTTCTTTGGAATGTGCAGGGTTTGGTCAACCCAGAGCTGCTAAGTCAACACTTTACCATGCACTAAGCACATGATAAGTTAGACCAAATGAAACATAGTTCCTCTCCATGTTACAGCTCCTCCTCAGTGTTCTAGATTCCTTCGCCTTCCTCCTGACCCTCTACAGACAAGCCTGGCCATGGCCCTCTTTGCAGGTCATTTGCTGAAGTTCCTTCTCCAGTGGTCTCCTCTCTATCACTGCCTCTTCTCAAGCAGCTCCATGTGCCCTTCACAAGGGGCTGGAGTAGAGGATGGTGGTGGTAGGGGCACAGGTGCTAGAGTCTTTAAGCAGATCTGGATTTGAGTCTTTCCACATACAATTTATGTCACTTGGCCTCCTCAACCTGTGTCCTTGTAAAATGAGTATTCCAACATCTACCTCTCAGACTACATTGGGAAATGAAAGAGTTAACACGTACGAGAAACCTGGCCCAGAATTGTTGCCCAGTACCTGTTAGCCTCCCTTTAGCCCCGCTGCACATTGTCTTCTTTCATTGTTAAGCAGGTTCTAGATCTTACCCCTCAAAGAAGGGTTTCCGAACTGAGACAGAGTCCCACTGGTACCCTGTTGATCACACTAAAAGCTTGTGGACAGTGGACACTGATAATTTAAATGCAAACTCACATTTATCATATTCAACCATTGTTTAGCCAATACAACTGCCCTGTATAGGCATACGGCTATGTGTAATAAAATCATGCTTTGAAATACTTAATGCAAGAAAGGAGAAAATCTGAGAATGAAAATACTCTTTCCTTTTGCAGAACTCTTCCTTTTCTGGGAGCAAGAGAGATACTCTAGAAGCTTGCTACTTAAACTGTGGTCCATGGACCAGCAGCATCAATATCACCTGGGATCTTGCTAGAAATGCAGAATCCTCAGATTCTCAGATTCACTGAATCAGTATCTGCATTTTAACATGATCTCCAGGTGATTTGTATGCACTGGTCCAGAACATTCACTTACCTAGCTGTGTGGTTTGAAAGTCTGCTTCAACACTTCTGCTAATATCTTTTATCTAGGATAGAGATCACAGGAGGATTTCAAAGGACGAAAAAAATTAGTCCCAGTCTGAGGTTTCAAAGCCATATCGAACAGGTATCATTTTTAACTAACGTCCCATGAAAGATCCTGTCTGCTGGGTATAACCCTGGTTTGTAGGGTAACCATCAGGGGAACAAGGCCAAGTAATTAGGTTTTGTTTCTCCCACCGAGCAGGCATCAGGCAGCGTTAACTCTATTGCAGTTGTCTCCAAGCAGGTGTGCATAAGACCACGTGGCTTTCAGCCACTGTGGGAGGGTAGACTCAGGGTGGCCTTAGGAGGACTTTACTTTTGTCTCTTCCCAAGAAAGCCTGGACCGTGAGACCAAGTAGACCTGAGGAGTGAGGGGACTGGAAGTCCGTCACCCTGATATCCCTTCTTTTGTGTTCTTTGTGAGCTGGATAGCAAAGATTGAGTTCATGACAGTGTAATATACTGGTTATAAGCAAGGACACTGGAGTCAGACCACTTGACTTCAAATCTGGCACCACTTGCTAGTGGTGTAATCTTGGGGGAGATATTTAGCATCTCCAGGCTTCACTTTCTCCCTCAGTAAGTGAGGATGACAACAATTATATCCACCTTTTGGGGTTGTTCTGAGGATGAAATGGGTTAATATCTGCCATGTGCTTAAAACAGTGCTTGGCATGAAGTAGTTACTATGTAAGTATTTATTATTAAATAATTCAAATTTTAAATGGTCTGTGTGAAGTCTCACTGGCCAATGAGACCTGAACAGAAAGTGTGACTCTGGGGCTAAATCATAGAACAGAGTGTAGTAAAGAGAAGCAGTGGAGAAAGATTTTCTGCAGAATGTCACTATGAAGTTGATGGTGGTTCCAGTTGTCTGGAGGTAACGGGAAGGCCTGTCCCCATGAGCATCACTGGCTGTGGCCTGACCCTGCCCCTTCCCATGTCAGGGTTACATCACTAACTGGGCTCCAGCCCCTACAGCAATCATGTCCACAGTTCTACCTCCTGCCCAGGGGCTGGGACTGTAATGACCTCTCTGTTTTCTCTGTGCCTCCATCTCTCAATTGTTTTTGGGCTGGGATAAAGAGCCCTGCCTCCGGACCCCCCACCCCCCAACTCCTGCCAGTGAGGTCCAGATGACTGTAAAAAGTTTTCCATAGGCCTTCAGTGCCCTTCTTGCCACTAAAGTTTGTAACAAGGGGGCTTACCTTGGATTTGGGGAGTCCTCCTCAACTTTTCCTCCATTATTTCCCTATAATATGCTTTAAATTTTGTCAATCTGCCATATAAGACTGAAGAACCAATTTTTTACTCAGCCTCTCATCTACAGGAAAAACAAAAAACAACAACAAAAGAAATGATGGTACTTATAAGTAAAGCCAATTAATTTTATTCTTCTTAGTACAGCTTCCACTTACCCAACTTTTAAAACTAAACACTTGAAAGTGCTTGAACAAATACAGTCAATAAAAATGAAAAGTTACTTCAGATGCACAGCAGATCAGTCGCAAAAGAGGTGGTACCCATTTTCCTCAAATTTTAAGGTGCATCAGAATCATTGGCAGGGATTTGAGCGCAGATTTTGTGTCAGACACAGTCCTGAGTCATGGGGACAGAGCAGTGAACAAAACAGACAGGAATCTCTGCACTCAGGGAGCTTGCACTGTGTGTGGGCAAGGGGGAGACAGATGATGAAATAACTGGTGGTCAAGATGGTGAGGGGGTATTTTAAGAACAACCAATCAAGGAATGGGAATGGAAGTGCTAGGGGCTGTGATATTAAATAGAGTGAGAAGATAGGGTGTGGGAGCAATCTGCATTCCAGGGATATGGGACACAGTGGTCCCTGGATCAGACTTTAGGAAACACAGGGAAGACAGAGGAAGAATGAAGGAGCAACGGAATTTGTTCTGAATTGAATATTCAATGCAACTTATTCCACCACGCTGTTTATACCACTGTGGGATTCAAAATAAGATTTTGACGATGCTGTGATATT